CCAAATAAGTTTTAACATATCGGCATATTGTATATCGGCCAAAAAAACAATATTGTGCATCCCTATTAATTATATCTGGTGGAAACACGCAAACAAATGACTAACCAAAAACGAGAAAAATTAATAATTCAGGATTTTAAATTCTGAATGCAACATGAATTAATCCAGGGCTATTCAACTGGCGGCCCGTGGGCCTTTTCTGGCCCGCAGGTGACTTCAATCTGGCCCATCAACGAGCTAATAAAATAATAAATAAAAAATAAAAAAAATGGAGCGGGTTTGGGTTGTATGTTTATTGCATTTATGATTCAATGCAATAAACAAATTTGAATGGTAACAGATCATTATAATACTTGGTTTATTTACATAATGACTTTAATCCCTGGATGTCCGGCCCCTGAGCTGCTGGCTTTCAGAAACTGTGGCCCCCTGAGCAGTTTTGTAGAACGGCCCTGCATTAATCTATTATTTAGGTCCAGATTTTTCCATTATTTATGAATCTGTTTATTGTTGCGAATTTAAAATGCCCATTTTTCCCCTTTAGACCGTCAATGAAACACCGTTATCTGGCCTGAAATATTCAGTGAGAAATATTTTCAACAGTCAGTCAGCCTGTTTCTCCAACTGTTCTGAGGGAACCCTCACAGAGAGGCAGCCAATCACAGATGGGTCTGACAGAAACCAGGAAATGAAAGCCAATCAAAGCTTCAGCTCGGCACTGAGGCTGGGCGTTATTTATAAGTTTGTGGTAAACCATCTGAAAGCACAAAGGTCTGTTTTCACAGCTCGATCGCAATGTTAGCACACTCGCAGCACTGCAGACCAACATCTGTACATCACACCAAATGTTGGTAACTTTACCCAATGTTTCTGAGGTTATTTAAACACACACAAACACACAAAACACTGCAACCACTGGGACAAAAAGCCTCCAAATCCCTCACACATCAACACACCGTCAATCACCGGAAATCCTCTGAGCTGTGATTGAAGCAAACATCTGTCTCGGAAATGATACGACAGAAATAAATGTCAAACAAAAGCAACAAAAAGGAAGAAACGAGAAGACAAAAAAAAGGGAGGGAAACAAAAATCCAAAAGTAAAACGGTTCAAACGAATGTCTGCAAGTTCTTTAAATTTAATTACTGCACTTTTGTTCTTTTGGTTCATCAGTGCATCACAATAAATTCTTGTTAAAGACAACTAAATATATATATATATATATGTATGTATATGTATTTACACATAAGCATGACCTGCAGACATCCTGCAAAAAAAGGAACCCCTCCCAAAAATAACCGAATAGCACAAACCGGTCTTGAATTCATCGCTACTTCCTGTCTCCCCCCTTTCCTCAGCTCCCTCAAATTCTGGGAGATTTTGGGTGAGGTAGTCTTAATCTCAGATCGATAGTGGCTCACACGGTCAGAGTTCAACCGCGGTGTAGGAAAATGATGGCGGGAAGATCGATGATGATGAGAAGAGGAGGAAGGTGAAGGAGGAGGGGCAAAGGAGGGGGACTGGTGAGAGGACAAATCCAAAAATCAAAGAATAAGTAATTTAGATTTGCATTTGTTACAAACTTTTCTCTTTTCATGGAGGCGTTTAGTTAAATCTGCCGGTCGAAGGCACTGAATTCACTCCAGTTTCTGCAGTCACGCTTCAGTTTGTTAAAAACAGGTCTTTAATGTTTTTCCAGTGACCAGATGTAGCAGATGTTTTCAGATTTCTCACTGTGCAGATTATTTATGGCGTAAACTATGATAAAACAAGATATCTATCTGATTGTACACAAACAAATCACACAAAGATAGATATTTGTAACTACCGGTATCGGCTTAATCAAGTTGAAGTTAAAGGAGTGAACGGATCTATGTGCTGGTTTGAGCAACACCACACCTGTAAGCCTTTTCGGCTTTTAAACCAGATGTTCTGTTTAAAGGTGATCCAGTTTCAAAGAATAGCCTTAAACATTTGCCTCCAAAAAGATCAAATATGCACTGTATGAACATGAAAATAACAGTGAGTGTTAAAGAAAGCACTTTCTGTAAAGTAATTTCACCATTTATCACACAGGGTTGTGATACTGCGAGGCAGCTGATAGGCTAATTATAAACCAACAGCAGGAAGTTAATGAATGACCAGGAGCACCTTTACGAAGAGGCCTAACGTCTAAAGAATGTGTCGGAGGGCTTACTGGTAGGTGTCTTAAAGGCCGAGGAGCAAATTAAAACAACCTATAACGCAACACAAACTAAAAAAATCCAACTAGGTGCAGAAAAACCCAACATTTTATCTGCTAAACTGTAAAAAAATGACAGAATTAAAAAAAAATGAGGCCAAAAAGAGAAAATCAAGTGACTGCAGGATACAGCTGAATGATACCAAGTCATTTCCAGTTAATTATAATCTAGGTGTTGCCATGGTGATGAACTCAGGTGTAACACCCCCTCCCCGGCCCTCGCTCCTGTACCTTGGGTTTTTTGCCGAACAGCCAGAGTTTGTTCTTGGTTCTGCTCATGGGATGTTTGGGGTCAGATCGTGAGCCGGGGCCTACGTCCTTGTCTCTGTCTCCTTTGGGTGTGTTGTTGATGGCCCCGTCTGATCCGTTTTTACTTATATTCTGACTGAAGTCTTCGAAGGGAAAGTCTCCGGGGGGCTCAAAGCCAGATTTAAATGACTCCACAACCATTGCTGAATCCTGGAAAAAGAGGGAGAAGAAACAAGGTTACGGATGAAATGATGGGTACGGCTTCTCTTCTGGTTCTGTTGCCATGTACCCGCCGCTCGTCTACAGCCTTGGCAGCAGAAACCATTCCATCTAGGCATTTGGAGACGATGGGGATGACCCTCTTCTCTGCCTCAGCGAAGCATCGAAACGTCTCCCCGAGCTTCACCGTTCGACGTTCGTCCATGTCTTGCAGATTCTGTACAAAGTTCAGGAAAGGCAGAATAAGTGCTGCTTTTTTAAATCCATGGCGTAAACAACTTGTGAAAGTTTGCAGACCTGTCACCTTAGAACTGATACCATCAGTTAGGGCAGGGGTTCTCAAACTTTTGGGGTTCAGGGACCCCCTTACAGGTGAGAAAAAGATTCACGGACCCCCTCATAACCCTCATATTTATTAAATAATTTTCTTCAATTTGTCTCTTTAACGCAATGGAAATATTTGTGTAACATAAATACTTAAGACCGTTCTTTAATAGTGTTAATACAATTTTTATCATTTTAAACATGGAGTCTTTTAATCAAGACGCAATTAACAAGAGTTTTAATTTCAACTACAGTTTTGATCAAATTAACAGTATCAAAAACCACTTTAAATCTTTACCTATTCACACAATGAACATAAATGTATCGCCACTTCTTCAAATTAGTACAGAAAACTCTTTCCATAAAACTGAACAGAATCAGAACAGCAGCAGTCAGACCAAGTCACAGGGCTTCACTTGTAAACCAATCGATGTTGGAATGCAAACAGCGAGCGGGCTGGGGGCGGTGGGGTGCCCGATGGGGTGCCCGAGGGTCCTCCACCAGAATTTTTTTTTAATAAAGTAGATGTGATTTCCTGCATTTTGGTGTATTTAAACAGGTTGTTAAACATCTATGTGCTTGTAAAAAATAAAACCTCATCAAGTCAGTTGTGGAGCAACATGTACGAGAGGTTAAAATTTAAACTCACTGAAGTTCAGCTCACAAGTTTGAACTCAATGAACTCAACTCATTTAAAGTCACTTTCTAACAGCAAGAAAAACATATCAACAAAGATCTTCAAACACTTCTCAGCTTCAGGAATTATTTGATAAAAGGCTCAGGAGAGTATGTTTAGCTGATTTATGCAGTAACAGAACATTTTAATCTGTATTTGGCAACACAACTGGTGGCTTTACAATGTGACAAGTTTTACCTCAAACCAGTTCAGTTTTGACCTGAAACACTAAACTCTGGAGCTCATTTAGCTGTACTTGTACAGTAGTCCCTTGTTTATTGGGGGGGGATCTGTACCCTGAAGCCCCGCGATAAGTAAGAAACCGCAAAGTAGGAATAGTAGTACAAGCAGTAAGAAGTAGTTTATTTTTGTGTATATATATAAATATATGAGGCATTTTAAACCCTTCCCACTTGTGCAATATTCTAAACAATGTTTCTAAACGCTCTTAAAGAGCACAGAATGTCATGATTTCCCTCTCTCTGCCTCCACTGCTCTCAACCGCCTGCAAGCGTTCTTGGCCACGCCCACTTCTCTGCTCTGCACGGAGAACAGCTGATCAGCTGTTCAGCTGCAGGAGGAAGTTTATCCTGCAGTATGAGCTGCACAAATGTGCAGTAGGTGCTAAATAATTTTAGATAATTTAATTTAAATAAAAATTCCATGCCGGTAGTGCGGCTCATCCATCAATCAGCCAATTGTGGGTCATGTCCAATCACATTTTGAAAAACAGCGATAGAGCGAGTCCGCGATAAACGAACTGCGAAGTAGCGAGGTACTACTGTACTCCAAAAAAACAACTATATAAGTAATGTTTTATTTTGTAGAGTGAATAAAAACGGATATAAAATACGTAAACATCAGAAAAAGTGAATTGAAATGAATAATAAATGTATGTGAACACAAAGAATTCATTACGCGTGCATAAATGCATGTGATGTGCCGGTTTTACCTTGAAGATGTGCGGTATGGCGTTATTGAAATGTTTCCACTGCTCCGAGTTGAAGTTCTGGAGCTGAGCGGCGTACTCGTTCTTACTCTCGTCAGCCGTGTGTGTGCGCAGGTACAGCTGGGCTTTGGCCTAAACGATAAGTTGATCCACACCAACATAAGGTTATAAAAACACACGGCAGAAGAAATATGTTGAAACTAAAAAGGAGGAAAGAGGAAAATAACTGGAACTTTTATGGACTACATTCCAGTTTTATTAAAAAAAAAAATGTATTCCTGTATTATTTGATTTTTTATTGAAGTTTATCAAAGTCTAAATAGACACTGAAATAAGAGTTGAGTAATGGTCATCTTTGGTTAAATGATTCACAGCAGTGGAAGTTTCCTACCTTCTCCACCTCTGATTTGGTGGCGTTGATGTCGTTGTCTAACCGCTCGTAGGTCGTCTGGGCTTTTTCCGCTTCCCTACACTCCCTCTCAAACTTCCTTTTACTCTAAAAGTTAAAAGAGGGCGACATTTATTTTTAACACAGCAAAGAATAGGAAAAAAAAAAAAAAAACAATAGTATGATCTTTTTTATTGCTACACACTCCACTAATTTCCTGTCTCAGTAAATAAAAGAAAGAAAATATGTGAATGAGAGAGCGATGAATCAGACGGAGACAGTTTACTTCCTGATCGTCCATCTGGAGCACATTAAGACTTAAGAACACAGTGAATAGCTGAGACATTACAGATTAGTCACTAAACAGTCACTGGTAAAATGCAGACCACACTCTTTGTCACGTGTGCAGGACTAACTCAACAAGAATCCAGATGACCGATATAGTAACTAAATGTTTGAGAACTACTACAAACTCTAGAGTTTAGAAGGAGCTGAAATGTGTTTATGTTTGTTTCTGAGCCGGATTCTTGGCTTCTTTCCATGGTGCTTGAAGCCAAAGAATCTGGCCAGAAGGAAGAAACGGACGACGCTGTTCTTTTAGATTTAGAAGGTAAAAGTTTAAACCTTTAACAGTGAGAATGCTGAGTCAGCATTCACACTAATGTTTGTCCGTTTAAAGTTTTGTTTGCATCTTTGTTTGCCAACTACTCCTGCACAAATCTGTGCTGGTTCATTTATTCATAAACCAAAACGTTCAGTTTGATCGGGAATGTGCTGCGAGTTTTGGTTAATGTAACTTACCAACTTTTCAAATATTTAACTTTATTTCAAAATAAAGTTAAACTTAAATACATCAAGATCTTCTTTACCGATTCTAAATTATTCTCTTTGAAATCTGTTTCAGCACAAACACTTTTTTTTTATCCTCCTATGATACTTTTAGCTACGGTTTGCCACTTTTAGCTGCCATTTTACTACTTTTAGCTGATGTTTGAATACTTTAATCAACAGTTTAGCTGATTTTATTTTAAGTTAATGTTTTGTTAACTTTTGAGCTGGAGCTTTGCCAGTTTTATTTTAAGCTACAGTTTTGCTACTTTTAGCTGTTGATCATTTTGCCACATTGCTTACCTTTGTGCTAATTTTTGCAAAGGCTTAGCCACCCCTAAAAACCATTTTGCCTCTTTTAGCTAAAGTTTTGATACTTTGGGCTTTCAGCTTAGCCAAGTTAAAATTTTAGCTACAGTTTTTTCCGATGGTTTTGCTATAATTTCATCATTTTGCTATGGATGTGACATTTTCAGCTTCTTCAACAAATTTCAGCAAAGTCACTCAGGACACAGCATTCACACTGTTTTTTTTTTTTTTTTAAATAGAAAATACAAGTTTCTCTCATTTTCATTAATTTGAGGCCAGAAGCACAAAACTGCTTCAAACAATTCACATTTGATTTTGAAAGGGGAACATATTTACAGAACTTGTAGAGAAATTCCTACATGCATCTTGTCTACAGAAGACGGATACAGTTTTGTCTTTTAGTTGCCTCTGTTTGCATTTCTTTCATTCTTTGAGCAAGACGAACACAGCTGGCTGTCCCTGACAGTGAATATTTACCCTAAACACCATTTCTCTTCATCCCTCCTCCCTCCCTCCCTCCCTCCCTCCCTCCCTCCCTCCCTCCCTCCCCACTTACATTTTCCATCTGTTTCCAGCATTGGTCCAAGTACTGCTGAGCCTTCCTCCCCTCCTGTAGATGCTGCTCGTTTGCACACAAACACCAGAAACATTTACACACAACATAAATAAGCTCACAAACAACAATACTGGACTTTTTGAGTCGCAGTTACAAATTCATTAACACCTTTTATTACATAAAGTTTTGTATTCATGATGGAAATAGCATTTAATACCATTTTACTGAAAGAAAAAGGAAGATAATTATTCCAGATTTTAGATATCAGCTGATGGAGTCTGCCTTCTGGACATGGATCTGATGGTATAATATTCATGTGATGAAGTTAAAAGTTCAGGACAAAAGATTCATACAAAGACTGACGTGACCGACTCGTAGCCTCCTAACACTATTACCTCCCGACTTGTTCAATGTTCCAATTTAACATTTAACTCTATGCTTTGGTTTTGGATACATTTTTTATGTTTATTTAAATTAATACTTTAGGATCCTCCAGTCGTTTGTCTGAAATTCAAACATGACAATATATTTAAAACGTGGGGACTTAGAGAATACAAACAATCAGACTTATGGCGTCACTGACAGGCAATGATATTTTTTTTAATTTGACCTTCCTGACATTTGCAGGATTTTCTTTCAAAGTTTTATCCATTTTCATCTTGCAATTTTAATTCATTATTTTTGACCATTGGAATTGACTTTATAATTTGCATAATAAAGCTGATTTGGTGTATTAGCATGGTGTAAATTTACAACTAACCTAGATTTTGTGTTCTTTTTACACCAGAATAAACAAGGAGTCTTGTAACTTTTGTGTATATAATATAACTATAGACTGTAAAAGTATAAACAATTCAACATTGCATAAATCATGTTACATAATATTTATAAAACACACTGAAGTCATGAAAAATACTGCTGTTTGTTGTCAGTGAAACCCACTGAAGTAAAAACAGAGTCGGTGACTGAAATACGATGAACCGCTTTAGTAGAGGGCACTGTTCTTCCAAAACACCAGATCTTTAGTTTCTGCCATCAGCAGATGGTAGAAATCAAACAGATGGTTAAAGTCACATCCAACATTTTCATCTCCTTCACTGAAGCCAAACAGAAGATAAATACACTAAAAGGAGACACAGAGGATCCAAGAGCTACATCCGTTTGAGCTAAAACATAACTTTAATTCAGGGGCAGGCAGCAGAGGCCTGGCTGCAGTACTTACATGTTTCCGCTCAGCCTTGAGGTCTTGGCTGTACCTCATCAGCTCACCATAAACCCTGTTACCCATCTCCTCGGCCACCACCTCCCTCTGACCCGCGTAGTCATTCATTTCACTCAGGATGGAGAAGAACGACACGCAAGATGTGAACCTACAAATAAGCACATATTTATCATACACATAAACATGTTCTGTCTGCAGTCTGTTAGGTAACAACAGTCAAATCAGGCTGTTTGTTAATTATCAACTATATTAACCTTTTTTAAGAAAGTACGTCTTCTCTTAGATGCAAATTTCTTTATTATAAAAGGTTTAGGTTACTAAAAGTTAATACTAATTATATTACAAATGTATGGGTTTGGTGCAGCATAGAAGCAGAATACATGAATCAATTTTCCTAAACAATAGTTGCACACTCTCAAACATACTACAGTAGTCCCTCGCTGCTTCGCGGTTCAGTTGTCGCGGACTCACTCTATTGCGGTTTGTTTAAGTACTGTACATGTACATAAGATAAATTTTAAAAAGTGCAGCCATTTTGTAGTTTTCTTTCTTTAAGCCTTCACCGTTTTGCCAGTCTAAAGAACTACGTTACCCAGAAGCCCTCAGTTCACTTCCCAGAAGTCAACACTGCTCTTCCAACTGCTGCTTCTGCAAACGGAGGGAAAGTTTTGCAGCAAAGTCAGAAGTTCTGTAAGTTCTGTTGCTCACAGGACTGGCAGGAAAGTCACAAATAATTCTGAAGCTGAACTCATCCTTCAAGTTGTTTCTTCAGTGGTGAGCAGCTGGGCTGCAGCTGATCTGGACTCACGGTGACTCGGATCCTGGGAGCTGCAGACGGCTGCGGGGTTCAGTCAGGTTCTGGTCGCTCAGTGCTGGTCCGGACCGGACCAGAGGTGGTGGATTAAATCCTGGGCAGCCTTACTCCTGGAGCAGCAGCAGTGGGCTTCAGTCATGCTGCACCGGGACTTTTTTCATCTATCGGGTCGGACCGGAACCGAGCTGCTCCTGTACTGCAGAGCCTGGTAAGTAAAATGTAGTAGCTACATATATTTATATGTAGCTTGTTGTTAAAATTAGTAGGTTTAAGAGTTTAGGGGACTGATTTGTGGGCTTCATTGCTGCAGGATAGTCTGCAGAAACAAACCGAGTCAGAAAACGGAGTTGGACCAGAACCAGAGCTGCTGTTCTGCAGAGCTAGTTAGTAAAATTTAGTAACATATGCTGTTAAAATGACGTAGACTTAAGAGTTTAGAACATTCCAAGAGTGTGGGAAGGGTTTCTAAAACCTTAATATAAAGTTAACTGGATTGGGACTACTGTATCCATACTTAGAGGTTTTTCACTTATTGCGGACTTTCAGGGTACGGATCCACCGCGACAAACGAGGGACTACTGCACTGTGTTCAATCAAGAATACGAAGCGTCTGTACAAGCCGCACTTTAGTGGACAGACTGCATGACATTTTGTCCTAAAATATCTCACAAGCTGAAAAAACAGCAAAGTTCACATCTGCTTCAGAAGGAAAGTCAAAATATTAACTTTGTAATTACTTTATTCACCAAAAGGATTTGGTCTTGACTTTTATATTCATCATTGTCGTACCTTTCTTCTTGTTGTGCTTACAGTTTGTACCCAACGTTTAAGGTTATGCACATCCTCCACGCCTTGCTTCCTGTTTTTGATGCAACTTTGTGATAGATTACAGCACCACATACAGGTCTGGCTACATTATCAGAGTTTTGTGCTGTTTTATGTAGTTTTGTGTGGACGAAAACATTTCCAGAAACAGCACCGTGTTTACGAGGATATTTTTTTGAAACAACAAACAAAATGTTTGCTAGAAAAAGATTGTGTTTCTATGTGAACGAAGTCTACGTTTTTCAAAGAGCCAGTCAAAAATGATTCATAAAGAGACTGACAGACTTTTCCAGTGCTACAGTTTACACAGATCCAAAAACCTAACAAAACATTTAAAAAAAGATTAGTCATTTGAAGTTACTCACCTCGGCTCTTCATCTTTGGAACGTTTTGGACAGTACTTCTTCACCAAGTTTCTAAACGAGAACACAGAAATGCAGAATTAGAGCCTCGGATGATGTCTGATATGTTAATCTTAACAGAGAGACAAGTAAAAACTCAACAAGATAAAAGTCTGACACACACAGAACTACTGTACACAGACAGGAAAGACAGGAAGTGAGTATATAATTAAAGATGAATCAAAGTTGGAACCATCAAAGCCTCCATCTGAGCAGACAGATGAAGGCTTTGATGGTTCTAACTCAGCTCTGAGAAAACAGAGTCCAGTAATGAGGTGAAGGAGTTGAATGGATGCAGGTGAGAGCAGGTGAATATGTTAAATACCAGGTGTGAGTTCTGTTGTCGTCAGTAAAGGGATCATAGCTGTCCAATTTATTGCCTGAAACATGCAGTTTTACACAGACACAGCAGTATTTTTATTCACTATCCAAGTCTTAAATACCACGTGTGTGTTTATGTTGTGTATTCAGTAGAGATCATCCCTTAAAATAAGCCACCACTGACTGGGACAGACTGGTTTTTAAATGGAGGTTTACTGAGTTTGGGCTTTTTTTGTTTTTGTTGCTGTGGAACAGCTGCAACTCTGGAAAAAAATAATGAATCACATTCATGTCACTTTAAATAGAACATTTTTAAAGATTTCAATTCAATTCAATTCAAAAATACTTTATTAATCCCAAAGGGAAATTAATTGTTGTTGTAGCTCATCATCCTGGTTTCATTCAAGAGTTGTTATAGATGCTGATAGCTGTGGGCAGGGAGGATCTCCTGCAGTGAAGTATATATGATCCACCTGGATCCAGCTTGCTGTCAGATCTGGTGGGCCTCTCGGTCCTCCTGGGCAGCGGGACTGCCCAAATGCCGGGCAGAATTCCTCCCTGAGCGATGGTGACTCCTCTCAGCATGTCTGCAGAGTTCCTCATCACCACGGACAGACAGCTGAAGGTGTCGGGGGATGATCTCGGTCCTCCCGTTGTCACAAGCCGAGTTTCTCGCCAGCCGAGATTCTCAACAGCTCCAGGATCTCGGCGGTCAGGTACTCGAGCACCAGCGCCAGGTTGATGGGAATTCGTCCACGGCACCTCCATTTTAACTCAATTGGGATTTGGGGCTGTAGTTGAGGTATTTGAGCTTTTGAGATGTTCATCAGCTGCTCCTGGTTGTTAAAAAACACCTTGTTGCCATGGTTACGCATCATAACAAATCCCCAAAAGTAAAAAGGTTTCAGTAAAAATCCTTCCAGCTGCATAGTATCCGATACCAGAGGAAATAATCATCCTTAAAAAGCAATTTACATCCAGAAAAAAGAGGAATTACAATTTTCAAAAGCAATAAACCAGAATGAATGTAACAGAGCTACTCCAACATGCAGCCACCCTGAGCGGCGCAATTCTAGAACGATTCAGAATTTACACTGCAGACTGTTTTTGTCTGTATCTGAGCTTACTAAAGGAGCTGAAATCAAACATCCAGTAAAATAAACTGACAAGTTGAGCTAAACTTTGGCTTTATTTTTGATGTGTGTAATCAGAATAAAAGTAATGGGATTCATTAAGGTTTGTCTCTAGGTCGTTTGTCTCCATGTGGCCCTGTGATGGACTTGCGACCCGTCCAGGGTGTACCCCGCCCCTCGCACTGTGATTGCTGGACATGGGCACCAGCGAACACCGTGACCCAAAATGGAATAAGCGGGTAAAGATAATGGATGGATGGATGGATGGATTCATTAAGTAAAATAAAAGTTAATTAATACCTATAAAAGGCTCATTTCACCTGCTAAAGAGGTTCCGTAACCTTTTTTTAAAGTAATGTGAGCAGGATGATTGCTTTGATATAGACTGATTCTGCCAGGTGAAAAAGTACAGTCAGTCTTTTAATGGCAGCCAAACCACATCAAGAAGTAAAGCCTTTACAATTACATATTGTATTCAATGCCGTGAAGGCCAATGCTTTTTACAAGTTGTTTTTTTGAATTTGCTAGACTGTTTAATTGATGAGCTCTTTGCAGCTTTTTATGCAAAACATAATTACGAAACTGAAATTTTGTTTATCAAAAACTCACAGCATCAGTGTCGATTAAGGTAAATTTTGACATTGCATCAAAAAATCTTCCATAAAATGTAGGATTGAAGAGAATTATAGAGAACATCTTGTAAATGTGTTCATGGTTAGATTTCTGACCGACTTTTCTTTTGTTTGCGTGTGACGTGATGTACCGTAGCTGCTTGGCATAGTTCTGCTCTATCTCCAGCCTTTCCTTGACAAACTTTCCATAGCGCTCAAGAAAGTCAATCCCCCACTGAGTGTGCTTGTCCAGATTTTCAAACTGGTCCTGCAAATGAAAAACAGAGGATAGAAGATGAGAAAAACACGTTTTAAACACATGAAATACAAAATATTAACGTTTTAACTCAGTAGGAAGAGTGTTGTTAGTGAGTCATCTGTAAACTGTAAATGGGATGCAAATTAATGTAAACACAAAAGATCACAGTGATTAGACACTTTTCCTCCTGGAAGAGATGATTAAAACGTTCATGTCAGGATGATTTGTAGAGATACAAACTAGGAGCAAATACTACGCTATCAAAATGGGATGAGACCCTATAGCACCATAAAGTTATGGCACTTTGCCACCATCTCTACAATTATCAGTTTTGCACCAGTAAAGGGCCGCCCACTGCCAGTACCCACCCATACTCAGTCTGGTTTATGGACCAATCTTGTTTGTGGTTCCAAGCGAACTGGTCTGAGATGATGATTTTGACGTAAGCAGGCAGCAGCCATTGAATGGCCAGCGGAGCTACATCATAGGATGACCCGCCCAGCACATACATGTCAAGTCATGGGTTTTCCGTAAATTATACAGGGTTTTCCCCCCGGTCTTAGATTTTTCAAAAACTCAGTTTCAAGTTTATTTGGGGACCACGATGGGGTAGAGATAGGGCAGCCGAACCGGGACGAGAAAGTCGAGGCTTGACTCCCTGCCATTCCCACGTCATGGTGTCTCTGAGCAAGACACCCAATCCCTAACTGCACCCCGGGCACTTGCATAGCTGCCCACTGCTCCACCTGGGTGTATCTCAGGTGTGATGGGTTAAATGCAGAAAACTAATTTCACCATGTATGGGAACATACAATGATGACAACAAATAGCACTTTACTTTGTTTTACGTCTCAGTACTAGCCCGTAAAGAAATACTAAGGCTGCCCAATCCTCCTCCTCGTCCTTTGCCCTACCTCCGATGCAGCAGCCATGAGCCATCCCCCGCCCCACCCTTGTTGCATCATATAAAAGTAGTATGGATTTTTTTGTGAATTTTATGGCTTTCTGAATGTCAGTATACAGGTAAATATCTGAAGGGGTTGACGTATGCCAGCAATAACTGCAAACTACATCTGAACCACCAGTCCCTCTCCCATCGTTATAGAGTGTGGCTTAGTTAGTTCGTTTTTATGGTTTTCTAGTTCCTAGTTCAGTATGGAGGCTCCAAAAACAGTGGCACGGACCAATGACGAGGTCTAGACCTTTCTATTTTTATTGGTGGGTCAGAGGGTTCAGTGCAAGCTGGACGGTACTACAAAGAAACTGCACACTTTACAATGACGATCTCGCCCACAGAGCAGGAAACAAGTCACAGCACCAATTCACCTACGCCTGAGAAGACCCGATAAGACAAGAACTGAGTGGAGTCGCACTTATTAATGGCAACGTGGCTTTACCGAATCACCTAAACTAATGTATTACCGGTACTTGTTTTACAACAGAGAAGCAGTAAATTGCTTTCAGTCAGCCACATTCCTACCTGAACCCCCCCACCGAACAAACAGTCTTATCTGCTGTCTACTGTGGAGATCATTATGGTGCTTTGTTTAAAGGGCCACACCTGCTTCTTCCAAGAATACAGAAGGGTCAGGTTCTGCTCATGTGCCTCTAAACTCAGTTTCCAGCTGAGATCAAATCTGTATCTTTCCAGTTACAAACCCGCAACAAAACCAGTTCTCTTGATTTTATCAGGGTTTTTTTTTAAATTTTTTTTTTATTTAGAAGGGCCTGACTTTTATTATTTTTTTTGTGTATAAAACAAATCCAAGGACACTGACAACACTACTCAGATGGGAGGTGGCCTGGAAGTAGAGTAACAAGTACCTTCTGATAGTTACGAAGACATAATGCTTTGATTGATCAGCCTTTATGTGTGCATTAACACAAACCATGACCGATGCAAAACAGTGGAGAACAGCCGTATTTGTCCAGTTACTGTTAAACGCAAACACAGTAAGAAGAATCTCATTCCTGTCATACATCACTGCATCTGTCAGCTCTTCCTGCCTAGTCACTGTCTGGAAAAACGTAAGAAAGAAACAGCCTGTTTGCAGAGTTAAATATCTCAGTAAGTGTTTTGAAGCTAAGTGTGAGATCATTGCTTCAATCTACTTGCCTTCGTTGGCCAGTAGATGCTGATTTAAGTTTTATTGATGTTTTATAATTTGATCATGCTCTACTGCTTTTATTGCTTTTATATTAAAGCAATAAAGTGAGTAACTGTGGAACATGGATCCCAGCCAATACTGGATACCTTTGCACATTTCTTACATTCAGATATTGTCTTGTGGCAACGTATAATTTACTAACGATCAGGTGAAAAACACAGCCATACAAATACTATATATTGTCGATAAACAACCATCAGACCAGCTCAGATTTCATGTTTTAAACTGACGAACAATTTATTTTGATGTCCAGTGTACTATGTTTGTTGGACCACTGCCCGCTGAGACGCACTAAAAGTGCATAATTTGTAATGCTGGGTCAGATTTCCTTTCAAAAACTGCAGGAGCAAACTGATCTGAATGAAAAACGGACAACAGGAGAGTCTCGGCTGCCAAGAACAGGAATTTGTTGAACAATATACCGACACTGCAGTAACTGAGACAAACAACTGGAGCCGAGTGTCTAAACTGAGACTCAGGTGGTCGATTTTAAATCCAGAGTCCTTCAGTGACACGTGTCATACTTTAATTGATTTTTGCTTACAAACAACGATTTGACCTAAATATGTGAAGCCGAGTCATTAAAGAACAAAGAGCTGATCTACAGTGTTACACACAGAATAAGTACTGAATACTTTTAAGGTGTTTGAGGGGTTTCTCGGCGTCCTGCTCGTCTTGAGACCCACAGCCTCGTCTAACCAGCCTTTCCAGAGTGTACGCTTATTCTACTTTTTTTTAAGCAGCCTGTCTGATTACGTCAGTCTGTGTGGCAGCGTCTATGAATAAGTAATAGAGTATGAGCTCACTCTGTAGTTTGTGGCAGAGCAGACTGGCTCACTGGGGAAATGACATCTTTACGTTCCTGCTCCCTGAGGTACAGGGATAAAAATGTGGACTGAAAAGTGCAGATGCCTAAATGTGGGAGATATAATTTTGCTGGATATAGTAACTCATATGGCCAAAAAAGAAGATGAAGACGAAGAGAACTTGCAAGCAGGTTTCACCAAGAAAACATCGTCTTTACACCAATCAGACAGGAAGCCGGCCCCACCACGGCCAGTCAAAAATCCAGACAGCCTGCAGCATTGCAAGCTGAGGTCATTAGCACAAAAAATGCTGCTAACACAACAGGCTAATCACACACCGCGGCCCTAAAATGCTCGCAAACACTTGCACTCGCACACCGGTGCACACATGGCAGACACAGGGTGGGAAATGTCAACGCGTTTGAAACACAGGCATCGCTCTGCAACCCCCCCGGGTCCCGTCTGCACTCTTCGTGTCTGCTTACTGTGTGTCTGCTTCATCTTCCTCAAAAGAAACAACCCCCCGCACGGAGAAAACACAACACTGTATTTTAAGAATGTGGAGGTGGGGGGCTGACATGGGATTTGTGTGTTATTGTGCTGGAAGCTAAAAAAAAAAAAAAGGGGGGAGGGTGAGGAAGGAGAAGAGTGGAGAATGATTCTGAGAGGGGAGGTAAAAAAAAAAAACAAGAAGAAGAAGCTGTGAAGAAAATTAAAGCTGAAAACACCTACGGGATGTTCGTGTACCCTAAACAAAAATTCACACTGTACTGAGCAGGGGTGGAAGTAATGAATTACAAATACTCACCTTACTGTAATTAAGTATATTTTTGTGAGTATTTCTTTCAAGTGTGTAATTTTACACATACTTAAGTACAATTTAGACCATGTAATCTACTTCACTACTTTTAAAATCAAAAGTCGCTACCGAGTACGGACGCAATTTGTTTTAATATTCAAACTGTTCATCTGCATGTTTGTAAACCATTAAGGCTCTGAGATCGCAAACGCGCCAGTTACCCATGACGTAAGCAGAGGACAACTCTGTAGCGTAGAGAGTCATTTATGGATCAAAGATTTGGAGAAAAAGCCAAAATGGAGACAGAGGACACTGTCAACAGAGACAATGAGGAGGTGAAGGGTGAGGACGAGTGGCCGTGGTCGTACCTGGAGGAATGTTTCATGTACAGAGGGTGAAAAGGAGACAGAGTCCAGATGTAAACTTTGTTTGATCTTTACGGTGACAGCAGCTTCAAGACTTCAGCATCTAATCTTAAAAAACATAATGCAGTATATGAGGTTTTACAGCCTGCGTGATATTGTTTTTTATTGTTTGTATGTGTGGGTTATTAGTTTGGCTAAGTATGCAAAGATCTTGGATATAGTCACTGCCATCAGTTTGCCTGGTACTGAAACAAGACGGAGCTTCTGAGCGTCTGAGAAATGAGCTTTGAATGTAGCTGTTATTATCTACAGTAAATAAACTGAACGACTTCTGTTGACAACACAAAACATCAGTTGGTTCAAAAGTAATTAATACTCTGGATAGGTTTTAAGAAGAGTACTTTGTACTTTTACTTAAGCATTTTTACAACACCAGTACTTTTACTTGTAATTGAGTACAATTAAGCAGTGTAACAGTACTTGGGTACAAATTTGCAGTACTCGTTCCACCTCTGGTACTGACTTTCCTTGAAATTTCTTCAGATTCTTGAACTCGTTCATTGATTAAAAAAAAAAACGTTACATGATGGTTCCTGTAACCATCTCAATTTTCTGATATTGTTCTTTTATTTTTAGCTTCAGCTTCTACAGACTAGTGAACCTCTGCTCATCTTTTCTCCTGAAAAAAATCCCTAAAATGCTTTTCCCCCTACACCCCCAGTCTTCTTATTGACGTGTTGCCAAATAATTTACTGCAAAATGCTCCTTCAGCTGTTTTCATACTACCGGTACTAACTCTTACAATATTTGTTGCCCGTGTTCCAACAATTCTAAATTACCTCATTTAAAATAAAACAGAATAATATCCCTGTTTCAACATTTGACATATTTAGTGTTACATTGTGAATATGATATGGGTTTATGAGTTGTGCAAATAATTAGGCAGCAGCTCTACCTTCTCAAATCGGGGTTGCCAGAACTCAAACATTTTCAACTCCACGAGGCTCCAAAGCATCAAAAGGTAAAGACACACACTTCAAACCTTCACATATTACAGACACAAACGTGCACTTTCACTTTTACTTGCCGTGAGCCTCTGGAGTTGAAACTACTTGGGTTGGTTGCAGTAAGGTCAGTGTTTTGAAAACTGTCCAACTACCATCTAAGGACAAAACTGACAGCACTGCAGGCAGGGCCAACGGCCGGCTTCTTCCACAAGTTTACACTTTTAACCACGGCAGGTTTTATTTAAATCGGCAGGCAATGAGTCTAAAGAGCAATAACAAAAGGTGTTCAAATTCTGTGAGCCTATATCTGTGTGTGCACATTTTTCAAATGCCTCTACAGCAAAAACACTCGGCAACATTTCACCT